AACAAGTTGGGTCTGGGCTCTGCTGTACGGGGGGCCCCTGCTTATAGAACAATTGGCCCGGGGGCTACTGCTGTACGGGGGGCCCCTGTTTAGAGAAAAGCTAGGTCCTGGGCTATGCTGTAAGGGGGGGCCCTGTTTATAGAGCAAGTTGGCCCTGGGTACGCGTACGGGGGCCCCTGCTTATAGAGCAAGCTAGCCCTGGGCTAGCGTACAGGGGGGCCCTGTTATAGAGAAAAGCTAGGTTTCCTGGGATCTGCTGTACAGGGGGGCCCCTGCTTATAGAGCAAGCTAGGTCCGGGGTACTGTGACGGAGGGCCTGCTTATAGAGCAAGTTAGGTCCTGGGCTACTGCTGTACAGGAGGGCCCTGCTTATAGAGCAAGTTAGGCCCTGGGCTACTGCTGTACAGGAGGGCCCTGCTTATAGAACAAGTTAGGCCCTGGGCTACTGCTGTACAGGAGGGCCCTGCTTATAGAACAAGTTGGTCCCTGGGCTACTGCTGTACGGGGGGGGCCCCCTGTTATAGAACAAGTTGGGGCCTGGGTACTGCTGACGGGGGCCCTGCAAAAGAGCAAGTTAGGTCCTGGGCTACGCTGTACGGAGGGCCCGCTTATAGACAACTGGCCTGGGCTACGCGTACAGAGGGCCTGCTTTAGAGCAAGTTAGGTCCGGGGGCATGCTGTACGGGAGGGCCCTGCTTATAGAAAAAGTTGTCCTGGGCTACTGCTGTAAAAGGGGGGCCCTGCTTATAGAACAAGTTAGGTCCGGGCTACTGCTGTACGGAGGGCCTGTTTATGGGAGCAAGTTAGGTCCGGGCTACTGCTGTACAGGGGGCCCCTGCTTAAGGGAATTAGGTCCGGGCTACTGCTGTACAGGGGGGCCCCTGCTTAAGAGCAAGTTAGGTCCTGGGCTACTGCGTACGGGGGGCCCCTGTTAAGAGCAATTAGCCCGGGGTTTTCTGCTTACGGGAGGGCCCTGTTATAGAGCATTTGGCCCTGGGCTACTGCTGTACGGGAGGGCCCTGCTTTAGAGCAAGTTAGGTCTGGGCACTGGCGGGAAGGGCCCCTGCTTATAGAAACAAATTTAGGCCCCTGGGACTGCTTTACAGGGGGCCCCTGCTTATGAAAAAGTTGGGCCCTGGGTACTCGTACGGGGGCCGTTTATAGAGAAATTTTAGGCCCGGGGTAGCGAAGGGGGGCCCCTGTTATAGAAAAGTTAGGTCCGGGGGATGTGTACAGGGGGGGCCCCGCTTATAGAACAAGTTAGGCCGGGGGCATGCTGAAGGAGGGCCCTGCTTAAGAGCAAGCTAGGCCCGGGGCTCTGCGTACGGAGGGCCCCGCTTATACAAGAGGAGGTTTTTTGCTGCGCTGTAAATGAAAAATAGTTTTTTTTAACTTTCAAATGAAATTAAAGTCTGAAAACATGTTTATTCTATCATGTAATAAGTAAGCGATAGAGCCAGGCCTAAAATATGTATATACGTATAGCACACATATTACTTACCTTAAAGAGTGCTGGATGGAAATCAGAGTAGCACACTACAACACTTCAAACACACTAGAGCACTCAAGAACTTACTCTAACACTCCAGAACTCACCAAAAACACTCCAGTACCCCAAACACTCCAGAACTCACCATAACACTCCAGAACTCATATAACACTAAGAATCCCCATAACACCCAGAATCACATAATACCCGAATCACCATAACACTCCAGAATCACTATAACCCCCCCGAATCACCAAAACACTCCAGAATCACCAAATATCCAGAACTCACCATAACACTCCAGAACTCACCATAACACTCCAGAACTCACTATAACACTCCAGAACTCACCATAACACTCCAGAACTCACCATAATACTCCAGAACTCACCATAACACTCCAGAACTCACCATAACACTCCAGAAACTCACTATAACACTCCAGAACTCACCATAAACACTCCAGAACTAACCATACACTCCAGAACTCACTATAACACTCCAGAACTCACTATAACACTCCAGAACTCACTATAACACTCCAGAACTTACCATAACACTCCAGAACTAACCATAACACTCCAGAACTCACTATAACACTCAGAACTCACTATAACACTCCAGAACTCACCATAACACTCCAGAACTCACCATAACACTCCAGAACTCACCATAACACTCCAGAACTCACTATAATTACTCCAGAACTCACCATAAACACTCCAGAACTCACTATAACACTCCAGAACTCACCATAACACTCCAGAACTCACATAATACTCCAGAACTCACCATAACACTCCAGAACTCACCATAACACTCCAGAACTCACTATAACACTCCAGAACTCACCATAACACTCCAGAATCACCATAATACTCAGAACTCACCATAAACACTCCAGAACTCACCATAACACTTCCAGAACTCACTATAACACTCAGAATCACCATAACACTCCAGAACTTACCATAACACTCCAGAACTAACCATAACACTCCAGAACTCACTATAACACTCCAGAACTCACTATAACACTCCAGAACTCACCATAACACTCCAGAACTCACCATAACACTCCAGAACTCACTATAACACTCCAGAACTCACTATAACACTCCAGAACTCACTATAAACATCCAGAACTCACTATAACACTCCAGAACTCACTATAACACTCCAGAACTCACTATAAGACTCCAGAACTCACTATAACACTCCAGAACTCACTATAACACTCCAGAACTCACTATAACACTCCAGAACTCACTATAACACTCCAGAACTCACTATAACACTCCAGAACTCACTATAAGACTCCAGAACTCACTATAACACTCCAGAACATGCTAGAATGCCTATTTTGCAATCCCTTTTTGGAAATCAAGGGATAAGTCATTACCACCTAATTAGTGCTTAATAACCCTGACCTCCATAGGAATAAAATTATCAGTCAGTCATAGCGGATTATAATAAAACGGAGGAAGTTTGGCAGACAGCGACCGCCCAGGGAGGTAGGAGCGGATCTACTATAAAATTAATGAACCTTAAGTTTTAGGGCCCCTAGTCCCACATGGGTCCCAGAAACAACTTTAGTCCACAATGCTTAAAATTTTTGGGTCTACTGTATAAGAATGTTTTTTAAAAAATATTATTATTTATTATCACACTGGCCGATTCCCACCAAGGCAGGGTGGCCCGAAAAAGAAAAACCTTCACCATCATTCACTCCATCACTGTCTTGCCAGAAGGGTGCTTTACACTACAGTTTTTAAACTGCAACATTAATTACATTAATTAATTACAGTGAGTAATTCAGTATAATATAATAGTTAAAATAAAAATTAAAAGGTTATTAATGTATCATGTAGGCCAGCCATTGCTGGTTGTCATGGTGACCTCTTATGGGAGCAGACGGGGAAAAAATTGTAGCTCTTTTGTTTACCGTCCAATTTCCTCCAGTTTTAGTGCACAAGACAAAGTGTTTTCACACTGTGTAAAAAATATTTGTCAAAAATATACCTTAAACAACAACTGAGAAAAAACTGAAAAATGACTGATTTACAGAAAATGCCCTTTGGCAGGAAGGTAGTCCTACGTGGGACGACGTAAGGTTGTTTGACACGTGGGATAAGAGGTACATGTAGACAAATGGTTCAGGGTACTGACAATTTAATAAATTAGACACATGTGCAACACTTGAGTATCTTTAATGAGGAAATGTTTTGCCACACAATGACTTCATCAGTCCATACAAAGGAGAATGGTGAAGAACAGGAGGATTTTGAGGTAATCAGTCCCTCAGCCTTGAGTTGATGTTATCACTCCATCAATCTTGAAAAGAATACAGCATATGTGCGGAGAAGTGGCTTATATACTGTAGGTAGGAGGGGTGTAGCAGTCGTAGGTGGTATCACATTTGTCCAGTGTGGAAGTAGGTCATGCCCAAGGGTTAGGTAAGTTGGAGAATTCCCTGTATTAAGATCCCAAAATGTTGCTGTGTCAGACAGGAATGTAGATGAATGTATTCTTTTCAAGATTGATGGAGTGATAACATCGACTCAAGGCTGAGGGACTGATTACCTCAATCTCCTATTCTTCACCATTCTCCTTTGTATGGACTGATGAAGCCACTGTGTGGCGAAACATTTCCTCATTAAAGATGCCCAAGTGTTATTATTTTTTTTTTATTATTATCACACTGGCCGATTCCCACCAAGGCAGGGTGGCCCGAAAAAGAAAAACTTTCACCATCATTCACTCCATCACTGTCTTGCCAGAAGGGTGCTTTACACTACAGTTTTTAAACTGCAACATTAACACCCCTCCTTCAGAGTGCAGGCACTGTACTTCCCATCTCCAGGACTCAAGTCCGGCCTGCCAGTTTCCCTGAATCCCTTCATAAATGTTACTTTGCTCACACTCCAACAGCACGTCAAGTATTAAAAACCATTTGTCTCCATTCACTCCTATCAAACACGCTCATGCATGCCTGCTGGAAGTCCAAGCCCCTTGCACACAAAACCTTTTTTACCCCCTCCCTCCAACCTTTCCTATTAAAAAAAAAACGATTTTTTTTCTCTCAAAATGTTGGGGCACTACGGTAGAGAAAGTATATATACATTTGGACCATTTATGGGTTAAAGAATGTGGCTGCTCATAGTATAGGAGGAAAAGCTCCATCCAGGATCTAGGCACGGCTGACCAATAGGAAACAGAGAGCATAAGTGGGGGTGACATAAGAGTGGGGATCAGTTACAAGTGGTGGCGCTAAAGAATCAGTTCTAGACCCATAATGAGATGTTACTCACGAAACTGTAATGACACGATTGCAAACAAACCATACCACAGGAAATATACCAAGTTGAATGAATTTTATTGAAGCTAGCTGGCCCAGTGGCTAACGAGAAGGTCTGGAGTTTTGAGACACTCTAATCACGGTTCTAACTCCACCTGTGGTATGGTTTTTTTATGGAGATGTGAAGAAGCTTTAAGACTTCCTTGTACACACCTTCATGACAAAGAGTTGATGGCGCAGTCTACGGATCTGTTGATCAATGGCAACCTTGCTCAGCCTCCAAGCATGGGGATCATGGTAGACATTATCTGTACAGTCAACTGAGGTGCCCGTAACTCTGCAACCGTGCCGAATGTCCACTGGAGTCAAATCTAAAAGAAATAAGAACATAAGAACATAAGAAAGGAGGAACACTGCAACAGGCCTGTTGGCCCATACTAGGCAGGTCCTTTACAATTCATCCCACTAACAAACATTTGACCAACCCAACTTTCAATGCCACCCATGAAACAAGCTCCGATGTGCAAGTCCCACTCAAATCCAACCTCTCCCACTCATGTACTTATCCAACCTAAATTTGAAACTACCCAAAGTCCCAGCCTCAATAACCCAACTAGGTAGACTGTTCCACTCATCAACTACCCTATTTCCAAACCAATACTTTCCTATGTCCTTTCTAAATCTAAACTTATCTAATTTAAATCCATTACTGCGGGTTCTCTCTTGGAGAGATATCCTCAAGACCTTGTTAATATCCCCTTTATTAATACCTATCTTCCACTTATACACTTCGATCAGGTCTCCCCTCATTCTTCGTCTAACAAGTGAATGTAACTTAAGAGTCTTCAATCTTTCTTCATAAGGAAGATTTCTAATGCTATGTATTAATTTAGTCATCCTACGCTGAATGTTTTCTAACGAATTTATGTCCATTCTGTAATATGGAGACCAGAGCTGCATAATCTAGGTGAGGCCTTACTAATGATGTATAAAGCTGCAGTATGACCTCTGGACTTCTGTTGCTTACACTTCTTGATATAAATCCCAGTAATCTATTTGCCTTATTACGTACGCTTAGGCATTGCTGTCTTGGTTTAAGGTTGCTGCTTACCATAACCCCCAAGTCCTTTTCGCAATCTGTATGGCTAAGTTCTACATTATTTAACTTATTAATGAGAGATAAATATAATTAGGATTTTTTCAACTCACTGGCCATCTCCTACCAAAGCAGGAAGACTCAAAAAAGGAGAAAGTGTTCCTTGTTTTTACATTTAGTAATTTATATATGAGAAGGGGTTACTAGGCCCTTGCTCCCAGTATTTCAGTCACCACTTACGACACTCATTGCTTACACAGGAAGCATTCTTCACTTTCCCATGGAGATAACTGTTATTATGAAGTACAAAAACACCTAAGAAATATTTTTATACACAATACAGGTTGATATATTGATCTCTTATGCCATTTTCAGTTTTTCACGAGATATATTCTTCTGCCCGTGAAGGCATGTAGAACGGGAGGAGAGGATTAACCATAACAAGGGTGGAAACGCTGGGCGTGTTGTCTTACACATGTTGTCCATGTTCACCCATGAGTAAAAATAGGTACCTTGGAGTTAGGGGACTGGTGTGGGTCGCATCCTGGAAGAAAACTACCTAATTTGTGGGAAATGCTCTGCATAAAAAGTGGATTTCTATATAGTAGTATGTCACTGATGTCAGCTATGGTCTGTATACCTTGTACATGTACTTGTATGCCTTATACATGTATACCTTGTACATGTCCTTGTATGCCTTATACATGTATACCTTGTACATGTACTTGTATACTTTGTACATGTACTTGTACACCTTGTACATGTACTTGTATACCTTGTACATGTCCTTGTACATTATATTATTATTATAACTATGACCAAAGCTGTGTTTCTTCCCCAACAATTAAAAAATGACTTCAGAAGGAAGGCTGATAATAATGGATATGTCAATTTTGACTGACAGGAAAAAAAAAAACGAGATGCTACATTCAATATCTTAAAAAAATAGAAAGTAGACTGATGATTAATCTTTAACCATCTATGTTGATCTACGTTCTTACTACTGGTACTCCAAATGTAGATTGATGATTTATTTACATGTCTCTAAATTTCTAGGTAGTAGGTTGGTAGACAGCAACCGCCCAGGGAGGTACTACCATCCTGTGGTAGTAGGTTGGTAGACAGCAACCGCCCAGGGAGGTACTACCATCCTGTGGTAGTAGGTTGGTAGACAGCAACCACCAGGGAGGTACTACCATCCTGTGGTAGTGGTTGGTAGCAGCAACCACCCAGGGAGGTACTACCATCCTGTGGTAGTAGGTTGGTAGACGCAACTGCCCAGGGAGGTACTACCATCTGTGGTAGTAGGTTGGTAGACAGCAACCACCCAGGGAGGTACTACCATCCTGTGGTAGTAGGTTGGTAGACAGCAACTGCCCAGGGAGGTACTACCATCCTGTGGTAGTAGGTTGGTAGCCCAACAACTGCCAGGGAGGTACTACCATCCTGTGGGTAGTGGGTTGGTAGCCCAGCAACCGCCCAGGGAGGTACTACCATCCTGTGGTAGTGGGTTTGGGTAGACAGCAACTGCCCAGGGAGGTACTACCATCCTGTGGTAGTAGGTTGGTAGACAGCAAACCACCCAGGGAGGTACTACATCCTGGGGTAGTAGGTTGGTAGACAGAAACTGCCAGGGAGGTACTACCATCCTGTGGTAGTAGGTTGGTAGACAGCAACTGCCCAGGGAGGTACTACCATCCTGTGGTAGTAGGTTGGTAGACAGCAACCACCAGGGAGGTACTCCCATCCTGTGGTAGTAGGTTGGTAGACAGCAACCGCCCAGGAGGTATTTACCCATCCTGTGGTATGGGTTTTGGTAGACAGCAACCGCCCAGGGAGGTACTACCATCCTGTGGTAGTGGGTTGGTAGAAGCAAACCACCAGGGAGGACTACCATCCTGTGGTAGTAAGGTTGGAAAGCCCAGCAACCACCCAGGGAGGTACTACCATCCTGTGGTATAGGTTGGTAGAAGCAACTGCCCAGGGAGGTACTCCCAAATCCTGTGGTAGTAGGTTGGTAGACAGCAACCACCCAGGGAGGTACTACCATCCTGTGGTAGTGGGTTTTGGTAGACAGCAACTGCCCAGGGAGGTACTACCTCCTGTGGTAGTAGGTTGGTAGACAACAAACTGCCCAGGGAGGTAAAACCATCCTGTGGTAGTAGGTTGGTAGACAGCAACCGCCCAGGGATGAAATACCATCCTGTGGTAGTAGGTTGGTAGGACAGCAACTGCCCAGGGAGGTACTACCATCCTGTGGTAGTAGGTTGGTGACAGCAACCACCCAGGGAGGTATACCATCCTGGGGTAGTAGGTTGGTAGACAGCAACTGCCCAGGAGGTACTACCATCCTGTGGTAGTAGGTTGGTAGACAGCAACTGCCCTGGAGGTACTACCATCGTGGTAGTAGGTTGGTAGAAAGAAACCCACCCAGGGAGGTACTACCGTCCTGTGGTAGTAGGTTGGTAGACAGCAACCACCCAGGGAGGTACTACCGTCCTGTGGTAGTAGGTGGTAGACAGCAACCACCCAGGGAGGTACTACCGTCCTGTGGTAGTAGGTTGGTAGACAGCAACCACCCAGGGAGGTTTACTACCGTCCTGTGGTAGTAGGTTGGGTTTAGACACCCAAAACCACCAGGGAGGTATACCGTCCTGTGGTAGTAGGTTGGTAGACAGCAACCGCCCGGGGAGGTACTACCATCTTGGGTAGTGGGTTTGGGTAAACAGCAACCACCCAGGGAGGTACTACCGTCCTGTGGTAGTAGGTTGGTAGAAAACAACCGCCCAGGGAGGTACTACTGTCTGTGGTAGTGGGTTGGTAGACAGCAAACCACCCAGGAGGTATTTACCGTCCTGTGGTAGTAGGTTGGTAGACAGCAACTGCCCAGGGAGGTACTACCGTCCTGTGGTAGTTTTAGTAGACAGCAACCGCCCAGGGAGGTACTACCATCCTGTGGTAGTCGGTTGGTAGACAGCAACCACCCAGGGAGGTACTACCATCCTGTGGTAGTAGGTTGGTAGACAGCAACCACCCAGGGAGGTACTACCGTCCTGCCAAGTGAGTGTAAAACGGAATCCTGTAATTGTTTTACATAATGGTAGGATTGCTGGTGTCCTTTTTTCTGTCTCATGAACATGCAAGGTTTCAGGTACGTCTTGCTACTTCTACTTACACTTAGGTCACACTACACATACATGTACAAGCATATATATACACACCTCTGGGTTTTCTTTTATTTTCTTTCTAGTTCTTGTCTTGTTTACTTCCTCTTATCTCCATAGGGAAGTGGAACAGAATTCTTCCTCCGTAAGCCATGCATGTTGTAAGAGGCGACCAAAATCCCGGGGAGCAAGGGGCTAGTAACCTCTTCTCCTTTTATATATTACAAAAATGTAAAAGGAGAAACTTTCGTTTTTCCTTTTGGGCCACCCTGCCTCGGTGGGCCACCCTGCCTCGGTGGGCCACCCTGCCTCGGTGGGCCACCCCGCCTCGGTGGGCCACCCTGCCTCGGTGGGCCACCCTGCCTCAGTGGGATACGGCCGGTGTGTTGAAAGAAAGAAAAGTCTCTAATTTGGCAAAATTTGGGCCCTTTGAGTGCCTGGTCAGTATAGAATGGGTCTTAACACTCAGTGTGCACAGAAATTAAAAAACAATCTGGGACCACTTACCGAACTTGCACACGAAAATCACTCACTACGAAAGCAAAAGACTTGGCAGACGATGCAGCATCCCCCCAATGAAAAGCAGGGGTGTCACTAGCACGTTAAGAGACCATACAATAAGTGTCAGGGGCCCGAGACTGTTCAACTGCCTCCCAGCACACATAAGGGGGATTACCAACAGACCCCTGGCAGTCTTCAAGCTGGCACTGGACAAGCACCTAAAGTCAGTTCCTGATCAGCCGGGCTGTGGCTCATACGTTGGTTTGCGTGCAGCCAGCAGCAACAGCCTGGTTGATCAGGCGCTGATCCACCAGGAGGCCTGGTCACAGACCGGGCCGCGGGGGCGTTGACCCCCGAAACTCTCTCCAGGTAAACTCCAGGTAAACTTAGTACCTTGTGGGAGCACCAGTTCAATTGTGCGCCAGCTAGAGCAAACATCGTGGCAAACACCTGGGAGTCACTAATGACATGTCGTATTAACACTCCCCTTCTAGCCCTTAAACGGTCCAAACGTATATATACGTTTTTTCAACATTCGAAAATATGTAAAAACGTGTACATTATCTTTTTTTTTTTTTTACATTTGAAAATGTGTAAAAAAAACATAGAT